GTATTTAAATACATTTAAGATTAGTATTTTTGTATTTTCAAAATACATAAAATACTTTGTGCCAGTCAAACTCTTTATCAGGGTGCTGATTTTGTGCATCAACTAGTTCAGACATGCCTCCTCCCCCTAACATTCATCACGTGAGCTGCAGCTGTACAGCTCCATTCAGCATTGGGTGAGTGAGTGACTTTTCTGGAATAAGATGAGGTGAGGGTGTCATGGTCAGTTGTACTTGTTGATTAAAGTTAAAATAGTGCATCATTCAGATTTGCCTTCAGTTAACATGAAAGAATAAAAGAGCACTGACGAGGAAAAAAAAAACTTTTGCTGATTGTTTACAGTTTAAGGTAAGTTACTCCCATTCGCGCAAAACGTCATGGGGTGCAGGAAAAAGGTGGATGAGACAGTAACTTCTTATATGTCAAAAGATAAAGAAAAAATGTATTTCTCAATTCATGACCCCTTTAAAATAAATACATTAACCAGTGCATTTTTAAGCATGGTTTCCTATTTGGAAAATAGAGGATAGAGGTAAACCAATTTAGCTACTACATTTCTAGTCAACATGTTTGAAACTGTACTGACAAATGATTATGGTGCTTTTATCATTGCATTGGGGTACTTTGAAATGTATTTTAAGTGGTTGGCGTCCTCATCAGCCTGCCTGCCTCCACACAACATTCATCACGTGAGCTGCAGCTGTACAGCTCCATTCAGCATTGGGTGAGTGAGTGACTTTTCTGGAATAAGATGAGGTGAGGGTGTCATGGTCAGTTGTACTTGTTGATTAAAGTTAAAATAGTGCATCATTCAGATTTGCCTTCAGTTAACATGAAAGAATAAAAGAGCACTGACGAGGAAAAAAAAAACTTTTGCTGATTGTTTACAGTTTAAGGTAAGTTACTCCCATTCGCGCAAAACGTCATGGGGTGCAGGAAAAAGGTGGATGAGACAGTAACTTCTTATATGTCAAAAGATAAAGAAAAAATGTATTTCTCAATTCATGACCCCTTTAAAATAAATACATTAACCAGTGCATTTTTAAGCATGGTTTCCTATTTGGAAAATAGAGGATAGAGGTAAACCAATTTAGCTACTACATTTCTAGTCAACATGTTTGAAACTGTACTGACAAATGATTATGGTGCTTTTATCATTGCATTGGGGTACTTTGAAATGTATTTTAAGTGGTATAAGTCTAAACATTTGATATGACATACAATTAAACGTCTGTGAAGGTCTATTTCCCTTTCAGTTGGTCACTCTCGACGTCACGTCGGTAATGACCGATGAATTGGGATCTCGCTTAGAGAGACCAGTCCACTTCGAGTGTAAACTAAATGAGCCAATGCACATTGGCATGCGATGATTGCATCCAGCTGCCGCTGATCATAGCGTGAGCATTAAAAGGCAGCCGGTGCAACGCATACCAGCTTTTCGCTTCGGAGCCGAGCGATCACATCGTTTTGCTCATGACTGAGAGAAGAAGACTGAACGAGTTCAGTGCGCTCTTTGGAGCTCCTGGTGTTGGCAGTATGGCGCTTCAGCGGTGGTGGTTTCCTGTGTCGAGTGGGTTGCACACATCAGGCAGCACTCCCCCGTTTGTGTTGCAGGCGGCCATCTCCCCTGTGCGCTTCAGCATGCTAAAAGAGCTTTTTCCCTAAAAGAGCATTCACGGGTGCATCTTTTTAAAGACAACGTTGCGTCTTGCTACAGACGACGTATCACCCGTGCGTTGCTGGATGTGGTCATTACCTGGTGTCGGATGATGGTCACGATCGCTGCCTCATGTGTCTGGGCATTAAGCACGCTGAGGTGGCGTTCGTGGATGAGTCATGTTCTCATTGCGGGAAGATGACCATCTCGGAGTTGCGGGCCAAGCTCTGTTACCTCAAAAGGGGCGGAGCTCTGTTGCCTCTGCCTCGATCTAGTTCTCGACATGGCAGCACTGAGGCGGGGGCTACTTCAGGCAGTAGCACGGGTGGTCTGATTGTAACAGTGATGGCAAACCCTCCAGGGAACCAACACTTGGGGGACCATCGCTCCTCTTGCACTCCGCAACCAGTTGAGCTGCCAAAGAAACGTGTTGGGTCCTCTACAAGGAGCGTACAAGCAGTATCCTTCAGTGCTCCTCCCGACGATTGGATGTCGATCGCTGCATCGGAGGGAGAGCAGGAGCTTTCTGGAGAGAAAGATTCAGCTGCGCTGCTGTCCTCTGTGACTGTAGCAATGCCATAATCGGATCTGGAAATGACGGCTATGCTTTCCCGGGCCGCCGTGACAGTAGGGCTCGAGTGGAAATCTTCACCGTGTCCCAAGCCCTCTAGGTTGGACGATTTGTTCTTCGGGGTGGCCTGCGCTGGTTCTCAGCACACCGCCCCGGTGCCATTCTTCCCGGAGGTGCATGAGGGGGCTTACCAGCTTGTGGAAGGCACCTTTTTCTGCCAGAAGCCGACCTGCTAACTCCTCCTCCCTCACCACTCTCAACGGTGGTGCCGATAGAGGGTATACGTTGATATACGGGGATCCCCCCGGTTGAGCAGTCGGTTGTGATGCAGTTTTGTCCTGATACCGCCTCCACCCGGCAGGGCAAACCATGCCTCCCCTCCCGGGTCTGTAGGTACTCGTCTGGTCTGTCCGGCGATGCTTATGTGGCATGCTCCTCTGGAGTCAGAAGCTGCCTCCGCCTTACACGCTATGGTGTTACTGCAGGTTCTTCAGGCTAAAGCACTGAGGGACCTGCATGAGGATGGTCACGATCCGGAAGTTCTGAAAGAGCTCCGAACTGCAACTGACCTCACTGACGTCAGCTCGCTCCGAGCGACGAAGGTCACCGCGAGTTCTCTGGGTCATGCAATGTCCACACTTGTGGTCCAGGAGCGCCATCTCTGGCTGTGTCTGGCTGACATGAGGGATGCCGACAAGTTTGGTTCCTCAAGGTCCCTGTGTCCCAGATCGGCCTCTTCGGCGACACAGTCGAGAACGTGGCCCAGCAGTTCTCGGCTGCACAGGAGCAGACTGAGGCGATCCGACATGTCCTGCCCAGGCAGGCAGCTGCTAACTCCAACCGTCCACCGGCCGCAGTGCCCCAGTCTGCTCATCGCTGAGGGCGGCCCCCTGTGTCCGCTCCCACACTGCATCCACAGCAGCCTCGAGCAAGCCTCCCCGCCCATCCAGGCCCCCGTCAAACCTGGCGGTGAGCGGAAGAGCAAGTGGCCCCAGGACGTGCGACCCAGAGAGAGCGGGAACTTCTCTTTGGGGGATGATGAATGCAGCTCTCCCTCCCCCGAAGGAGGGTCGGTTAGAGAATCTGATTTCCAAAAATCTCGACAGGAGCGCGGTTTTCTCGGTCTCTGGGTCCCAAGAGGGCACGGAGAGTCGAGAACGGACCAACACCGGACCACACTCATTCTCCTCTCTCGCCAGCAGGGAGCAGCGGGCGGTTCGAGAGCATCATCAAAGGCCCTACTCACGCACCCTCTGCCAAACCGTGGAACCAGGTACGACGGTGGTCCCGCTGGTCCAGCTTGTACGGTGTTTGGCTGCCTGGCTACCCGAACGTCTCGCTGGCTCCTGTGGACCATCAGAATCGGCGGGTCCCCCCGGTGGAGTGGTCGATTGCGATGCAGTTGTGTCCTAATACCGCCTCCACCCGGCAGGGCAAACCATGCCTCCCCTCCCGGGTCTGTAGGTACTCGTCTGGTCTGTCCGGCGATGCTTATGTGGCATGCTCCTCTGGAGTCAGAAGCTGCCTCCGCCTTACACGCTATGGTGTTACTGCAGGTTCTTCAGGCTAAAGCACTGAGGGACCTGCATGAGGATGGTCACGATCCAGAAGTTCTGAAAGAGCTCCGAACCGCAACTGACCTCGCGCTCCGAGCGACGAAGGTCACTGCGAGTTCTCTGGGT